TTAATAAATATACTATTATATATAATCGCTATTGAATGGGGGCTGCCAGTGATACAGATAGCACACAATATTTACCCAATTACATTAATAAGGGGATCTGAGCATGCCGAGATAATCCCCAAAGAATCCATGATTTATATGTATCTGTCTTAAGTGCACATGGCTATTAGATACCAGTATTTGGATATCTAGTAGTTCTTGATCTACTCAAGATGGCTAATTAACTAGATCCCAGCCAGTGCGCTGGGCATATCGCTTATGACACATGTCGATGATTAAGCACACCCTTATCACAATCCATATATAGTAGTTCGGGACCTTACACCTAGTTGATGAGCTACCTGCCCTGTATAGCAGATCCTCTTACAATATCAAAAGTTATGGACTGTATTTGATATTAAACATCCCTTACCTCAACAACTCAAACCCCAATTCTCAAAATGCCAACGTGGTATCTCAATACCAGCCCAATAGTATCATATTAATATGTAGATACTGCAACCGACTGAATCATACTCAACTCAATGGCATCCCGTCTGTCAGTCTACTACAAGCTCTTCAAGCGACAGTTCTGAGCTCATCGGCCTAATGGGTACAGCCGAGCAATAATAGATACTAGGAGTGGAGTGTATGTAGGGTGTGTTGAGTTGATGGGGTGACTGTTGTAGTTAGTGACTTGATAATATCAAGCTTAATGAGATAACTAATAGGTGAATATGTCTTGACAAAGACTGCTAAATGACAGTACAGAGTACTGTTAGAGATAGGGAGACTAATGCTCTGCAAGGCAGTATACATACATGTCCACAGTAGTAGGGCTCACACTAGATCAAACTACAGCACTTGTCACCCAGATCAGGTGAAATATGCAACTGAGCCAGTTCTATTTATTTGCATTCACATAACGAAATCAATTCATAGTCTTTTTGAATTACCGACACCGCCTACCTTGAAACATGAACGACCCTCGTTGTCGTTGATCAGAGACATAAGTTGGAATATTCCCCCTCCTCCTTCCGTCTTCGATCGAGAGGCAGCGACAGTTTTGATTCTAGAGGACTCTGCACTTCCACTGCGAGCAACGGAAGATCTAGACGCTCTCAAGAACCTGCTCCTTGAACTCCCTCTCAACCTTGTGACCCTTGTCGTCGGTGGTGGATTCGCCATGTAGGTTCAACAAAGCGCCCAGGTCGAACTTAGGGGCCTTGAGAAGCTTAACCTTGCGGATGTGGACCTAGGAACATCTTAGTTTCCAATTCAAACCTCGGGATAGGAAGTACCACGAACATTCTGGAGAGGATAGATTCCTTGCGTCGCCTTCTCAATCTCGCGACCGATAACCTCAGGGATAAGCTTCGTGGTGAGTTGAGAAAGAGTGCAGCTGGCGGCCTCGCGTTGCATGATCTCGGTCATCTTCTTCCGGATGGCGCGGATCTGAGAGGAGCGGGCGTATGTGGTCTTCTTGATCTGGTTGGGACGCCTCTTGGTGAAAGCAATGGCAAACAGACGAAGGAGGTAGTCGTCGGTCGTTTTCACGGTGACGTTGGCTTCGATGAGCGACTGCCACTTGCGGACGAGGGATCGCAGTTTATCGGTAGTGAAGTCGAGGCCGTGGAAGTTGGTCAAACAGTTCTTTCCTTGGATCTCGTCCACACGAAGCTTGACCTTACGGAAGGCATGGTCTTCGTCGTTCTGCAAGTCGGCAAGAGAAACCTCGAAAATCCGGCCCTTGAGCGAGTCGTTCGCATTTTTGAGACCACTGGTGCGGTTCACCAGAGTCTTTCCGACACTTTAGAGCTTCTGGTCAGCCGTTCGTCGATACATATGGTTTCGGTTCTTCTCTGAAAGAAGGGATTGAAATGTATATAGAACAGACATACTCTCTGATCTGGAAAGTGGAGGGCGCCTGAACACTATTAGCAACGTTCGCGCAACTACACTAATTGAAACTACCTTCACAGAGTACTCATCCTTTCTGGAGAAAGGATCAACGGTCCTCTTCTTGATACCCTTCTTGCCCTTCGACAAGCGCTTGTTCCTTCAAGACATTAGCAATCAAGATTGTTGTCCCGCATTGCGACGTTGATGTGAGATTTGACATACTTTCCAACAGCCATAGCTGCGACTCAGGTCTATCTTGCAGTGGTCGAAGACAGACAAATATATCACACCACACGGTCTGGTGGAGGGGAGTCGATGGGATTGACGCTGCTGGGTCGGCGGAATAAGAGTTGAAATCGAAATCCCACAGAAAAGTCCGCTAAGCGAGAGCGTCGGCCCTATCCCAGATTATATAATATTCTCCCCCCACAAATAGACCATTCAGACAGTATGATTGGATGTTTTGTTACATGAATCACGTGAAGATACAGCATTTGTATCTTAAAATCTTGACCAAAATAAGTATGCACTATCACAAAGTACATGGTTACAATGTCCTCTATACATATCATCGCATTTTCCTATTTTCCACAGAGTAAAGCTATTTTTATACTAGATCTGTGCAAATTATCACAAATCGCTATCAAAGCATACGGCACTCGGGATCTTTATTCGAGGATGGCAGTTGTAGGCTGATATGATGGAGTGACTGATGGTATTTGGTGAAGTATCTAAGTCGTATTCCTACACATGTCTTCCTTTCTTTACCAGCATGTAGCAACTGCTAAGTCGAGGCATTTTAATTACGGAGGAAGTTCCTGGCTTAGATAGTACCTAGAGTTACATTGGAATTTAAGTGTATACTATGCTGCTTAGCTACTAGTGAAGCGCTCTTAGCCGTCTAATGTTAGTGTGGACGCGAGTGATGTAATTGGCATTACAGGTAGTGCTGCAAGCACTAATCCCCCATAACATACTCCGTACATAGTCTTCATTTCCTCCTCTGCGCTGTAACGCCGTACAGAGTATCAACCCAGGACTCTAAGCCACAGTATTCAGTTCACTGCCCCCTGTTTTTGTGGGGACACGCATTGATATCAACTAGAAAAATAGTAAGTACATAACTAAACCTATGCACGTTGCAGCTAACCAGATAGGGACATCTTAGTTGTCCTACGCGGAACACCAGCTCTAAAGCACCTGCGAACGTTCGAAGGAAGCATGGTAGGCTGCCCCTCCTTTGTGTGCAACCGGGACTTGTAGAGAAGGAAACAATAGAGAAAGAAATATCATGGTCCAATGACTGAGTTTTCGTTCGGCTATAGGGCAAGCGGAAGAAGTCGAGCAGACAACCACAAGGACCAAAGAAGGTGAGTAGGTCTGGAACGGGAGATGAGTGCTGAGGCTAAGAATAGAGTCAGAGAGAACCATTGCCCACAACTTTCGCATGTCTCTTCTGTAACCACGAGAATTCCATCGTGGTGAAACTAGACAAGAAGTTGGGACTAGGGAACTTGTCCTGTAAGGTGTGTGGGCAGAGGTTTCAAACTGGTATCAATTGTGAGTTCATGAACACGCACTACTCTGAGGACCAATTCTGACAATTTCATGCCTTAGATCTTTCTGCTGCTGTCGATGTATATTCAGATTGGGTAGATGCTTGTGATGCAGTTGCCAAGGATACAGCCAACAGATACGAAGATAATAGCGCCGGTGGTCTGCGATCAAATGAGTATACTGTGTCTTCTATTGGGCAGCATACTGGATACGATGATGCAGATCGCGCCGGTGCATATGTGGACGACGATTGATACAAGTAATTCTCAAATATTGGATGGTGTACAATATAAAGGTGCAGTGGCTTTCCTGTGGTCGCTTTTCCAAACTATGACCGATGTTCTGCTTTTTCGGACTTGCTGTTACTCGATAATTTTTGGCGATCAGCTGGCTTCGATCCTAAGGATAATGAATGCTTGCAATGAAATTATTATGGTATAATTCTTATTCATGCCTCATGAACCAGCAACTTCAGCTAAAAATAGTATGCACAATACAACTACATTGTGTTGTAATTATGCATATATGCGGCAAAACAATTTCGAAGAAACCTCCGTAATACTTTATAAGCAGTACTAAACTGAAGCTCATTTGGGTGACTGGGTGTCACAGCGTATAGTATCGATCACCAAAATCACCAAGTCCTGGGATAATGTACCTGTGTGATAGCAACCAGTTAGCGAGCTAATCAAGAAAAAGGGAAATTAGCAGTATACAAACTTTTTCTCATCCAAGCCTTGGTCTATAAAAGCAGTCACGACCCTGAGCTTAGGGAAGCGTTCCGCAAAGTCTGCGACACCTGAAGGGCTTGCGATAAGGTTGAGGAACAGAATACGGTCCTCTGGTACACCCTTCGCCTTGAGAATTTCGACAGCAAGCGTCGCCGAACCCCCTGAATTGATAGCAATTAATATCACTCTATAGTCTAAGAAGGTCTTTTAACCCACCAGTTGCGAACATTGGATCAAGGAGTAAAACCCATCGACTGGAGATGTCAGCAGGGAGCTTCTCGTAGAAAAGCTTCGGCTTGCATGTTTCTTCATCTCTTTGTATAAGTATTTTCCCAATGCGAACTGATCGACAGCAATCTCTCAAGCCCTGCTCCATTGCTTCGCCTGCTCTCATGATCGATACACCGCATATTTTACCTTCGAACTTGACACCGAGATAGGTACGGCCCACAGGAGTTGTCACAGCTTGCTCAACTACTGGCAGGTGGTTTAAACCCTCTTCCACCAACAAACGGATGATTCTGTTGGAATAAAAAATGAAATCGGCACGCCCAGTTCTCTTATCTCTGATCATACTATGGAGTTGTGAGTATGAGCATTCGATGTTGATTCAGATTTCTTTAGAGACGTATGACTTACGTGAGAAGAGCGATCAACTGGGGCGTTTGAGGCAAAACATGGACATTTTCATAGTCTATGTCTTTCGACACTGTTGCTGTTGGTTTCTCACCATCGGGTCTATAAATTGGGCCAACTCCTTGGGCAGGAGAGGGGTTTGCTTCCAGTCGTTCATCAGCCATGGTCAATGAGAACTCTAGTATAGTTCTTAATAGATGGAGGCAAGTGCGAACTTTGAAGGACGCAAAAAAGGAAGCTAGTGGTCCCACTGAGGGTCTGCTAAACTCGGGTGGAAGTAATGAAGTTAGTTGGTTGCAAGGAAAAGGGAGAGACCAAGCAGGTCAAGATAGTGCATGAATATGTACGATAAGTAGCTTGGGCTAATGAAGGCGGGTGGGGGTAGTTCTCTAGTTGTACTATGAAATAATTAACATAAAACCAGTAAAAGAAACATAGTTATGGCGGACTATATGGGTGGTACGTTCTACTAATACCACAAAACTAGTTTGTAGAATGTAACTTAGCATAAGACCTAGTCCATTCTAATTTATACTCAATACTGTGTGTAGTCCGCGACTCCGCGCTCCCCGCTCTTGAGGGAAATGAGTTAGTCTAACTGCAGACGTTCGGGAAACTTGATTTACACCAACATTTCCTTAAAGAACAGCTATAATGCACGATATGTGGATCTACAGGTGATATTGTATCCCCCACAATACTTCCATAAATATCAAATCAGATTGTGGAGTCCTTTTCATAACAGCTTTGTTGGTTCACAACCATACCAGATTATTACTACCTACACCTTGATGGAGCATTCACATCCATGAATGTGTGTAGTAGTTTCTTCAAAGAGCTCATCCCAACAAACCCATCTACTTTTTGCATCTTGTAATTGAAGCCTTCTAACAACTTGGTGACAGTCTTTCTACTGCTTATATACTCTGTTCTCGCAATCTACCTGAACCTGTTTGCCTTTATCAATTCACATAAGAGCCTCATATGTACCAGCCTTGCCTATGCAAGTGGCATCTGAAACATGCGTGAGAAAACTAAGAGACTTGTGACTTACGGTAAACCAAGCTCACATAAGTCTCACAATCGCAAAAACAGGGTAGTAGAGAGACCAACAAGCCCCATTATCTCTGGTGATGCTGGAGTCTCAAACGCTTATCCCTGTTCAAATACCTTGACTCGATCACCAGGCAGTGATTCTCAGCAACTCTGTGGTGTTGACTCACTTGATCATATTCCTGACGCGCACATACTAGGTTCCCAGAATAGCCATGGGAAAGCCTATGATGTCAGCGGAACAAAGCGCAGAAAGCTCCTTCAGGAACAGGCGCAACAAACTCAGGAGCATAGTGTGAGTGCTGGTAGTCATATTGGGTCTATCTTTGCGCATGAAAGTACGACGAGATTTGGCGAAACCGGAGGTTCGAATGGTGTCAAGGCCAATGAGGCCCTCCATATGGTCAAAGCTCGAGATCAAAGTGATGGTTGTAGCCTTCCAAAGGGAGTTCAGGCTGAACCCGCAAGGAATGAACAGACTCCTACAGAAACGACCTACATGCTTCAATCTCCTCGGGATAGAAAGCTTTCTCTCAAAACCGGCAGGCTTTCTACATCATATCTCAGCGCTGTGGATGCAACCAGGCACCAAATGAAACAACCAAGTCTTCGAAAGAGATTAGTTGATTCATTAGACTCAACAGAAGGGGTGCCACTGGATTTTCTGTCAGATCGTGAATGTCAGTCCGACTGCCAGACATCCTCTAGCCATATCTGGAAAGGAACCGATCGACAGCGTACTACGTATATACACCGACTTAAGGCTCCTGGTACAGACAATATCCAACGGTCGCCTAATTCCAGACCATCGATATCTGGAAGGTCTAGGGTTACTTACGCACACCAGCGTTCCTTCCTAAATGATGCTTCTGTCTTGGGCCACAATGAAGAACCCAGCCTATTAGTTTCCTCGAGATACCATAGCCTTAGGCAGCCTCAGTCAAATTCAGGATTGCTATCTCAAACCTACTCGTATGTTGAAGACGAGGAAAGCCTCAACAACAGACCGGTTCGAAGCATTCATGAGCTAAGACAGGCTGGAGACAATGCACGCTTTTGGGAAACAGTGGATTTGATCTTCGAAGATATCGAGGACCCTCACAATTCCGCATCGGAGGTGTGCAATGGCTTTGTTCAATTGTGTACAAAGCTTATGGAGCCTCGGTTTTTAGGCCGTTTTTCCGAGGCTGGCTTTGACGAACGACTGGTGAAATGCATGACAGGTGGGGGTTTTGATATAGTTTCAACCACTCTTGCTCTATGCGCTTATAGATTGATATGCACCAGTGGCTCTTTCTCGTCTGCACCACCGACACCATTTTGGTCCAAACTTTTGGATATATCTCCCGCTCTACTTGACGTCGAAGACAATATATCAGTTACCGCGAAACAGCGATATATCGGTTTATCAAAAGCTGTCCAAGCATCCTTGAAGAGCCTTTTACCACGGCTATCCCTTGCAATACACGGAGAGCGGTCGATATCAACTATTTCACCGCGTCTGCTGATTCTTTTGAATATTCAATCTTCTCTAACTTCCTTTCAAGAGAAAGGCACCAATGTTGATATCCCCTCATCGCTTCTAGCCCTAATTACCGAGTTGCTATTACCCGAAGCTTGTGAGAATGCAAAATTTCCTCTGTCCTTTGAACGTTATCAAACGCTCATCCTGAGTTTGTCGATTCTGGAAACTTATACAATCCTATCGGGCCCATTGGACCCCGACTGCTGCAACTCCTTTCGGTCACTTATTCAGCGCTATAACTTTCTCTATCCGAATCAGGGTGATCAAAGCCGGCGGATTCTGATTCTATACATTCGGGTACTATTAAACCTTACCAACAAGGACCCATCTCTCTGTGAGGAGTGCTGCAGAACTGAAATTGTTGGCGGACTTGTCAAGGTCATCATTTCGGAATTCAGTGCTGTACCTGAAGAAACCACTGGTAAAGAGATCAGCTCAGTGGACACGGTAATATTAGCTTTGGGTACTCTTATTAATCTTGCAGAAAAAAGTGAATCATCGAGAGCTATTTTTCTGGAGTCAACAAGTAATTCTGAATCTTCCCTCGATTTGCTCTTACAGCAATTTTCTACCAGCATCAATTCTGTATCCCAGGTAAGGAAGCCCTATGTACATTCATTCACTTATAGTGCCTAACGCAGAACTTAGGCACACTCCGTTTCCGAAGTGCAGCATAATGTTGCTATCGGGTACTTGTCAATTCTTCTAGTTACGCTTTGTTTGAATCCCATGGCATTGGCCCAGGTCAAAATTTCTCTAGACGGCAAAGGACTTGCAGCGGCACTATCAACGGCCCAGGAGTTTCTTCGATATTATCAAAAGGTTGAGAAAGATTCGCGGTTGCTCGAGACACGACACGGACATGGAGCTGAACTTACGCCAAGATTAGAGCGAATTCTTTCCCAGATACGAGAGGAAGAACGACAATAATGCGGAAAATCTGTAGAACGTCACAGTACTAAAGGACAAATACATTTTCGTATTGCCATTTCGTCTACTCTCGACCCCGTCTTGGATCATGCCTCTTTAAGGCCGTCTTGCAATGGGATATCTCTTTAACTATATTTGACAACAGCTAGTCATGTAAGAAAAAAAACAATTGATGTAAAACTGGACTGGGGACGAATTTTTAAAATTGACGACCCAATCTGGACATGGTAATTGGTACTTGAGGTGTTCGATTATTACATACTTGGGTTGAATAGTTGAAGAGTACCAAGTAGCCATAACTACTAGTTATGTAGATATGATGTATGACATAATAAATAAAATCTTAACTAACCGTTTGACTTGTTTGCGTTTTCAATGGCTGGAACTACTACTAGTACCTCAGGTATCCAGTCAGTTTTGAGACTCATACTTTAACTGATTTGCCACCCGTGCGACAACTCCATCGCTCATCATCAAACACTGCCTCTAAACTGAAGTTCAATTGTTTTGCTTTCCACTCAAGTTCTATCTCGGCGAGCTCCCAGCTATCGGTGCTTTCCTGTTCCTGGTTAAGACCTTGTTCTGACACCCCTTTCGTCGCGACTATAGAGACGCAATCCTTGGTAGCGGGATATATATTTCTTCCAATAACGAATTATATTATCCTAGCGGATTATCGTCCCGCACGTCACTAAAAGCTGTGGAAATGCCTACTGCACCAAAACAGCGAAAGATAGCTATCGTTGGTAGTCGGTCTGTGGGTGTGTATACGATGATGTCTTCCACTTTTGTGGTGAACCAGCTTTTATTCGTGCGGAATCTTGATCACTGACAGAACTTATAGGTAAATCTTCCCTTACGGTTCGATTTGTTGAGCATCATTTTGTAGAAAGTTATTATCCGACTATCGAGAACACGTTTAGTCGAATCATCAAATACAATGGCCAAGATTTTGCAACGGAAATTGTTGACACAGCTGGTCAAGTAAGGATACTGGCAACAAAGTGTCTTTCCAGAAGCTAATGCTGGGTCAGGATGAGTACAGTATCTTGAACTCCAAGCACTTTATTGGGATTCATGGGTATATCATTGTCTACTCGGTGGCGTCCCGCCAGTCTTTCGATATGGTGAGGGTTATTCGAGACAAGATACTAAATCACCTTGTGAGTGCTGGGCGCCCGACGCCGATCCTTTTGTCGACTTTAGGAACTGAGATCAGACGATAGGGAGCGGATTATGTGCCCCTTGTGGTTGTCGGAAACAAAAGTGATTTGAAATCCGAACAACGTCAAGTATCATTGGACGAAGGCCGGGGCTTAGGAGAAGACTTCCATTGTGCTTTTACCGAGGCTAGTGCCCGTCTTGGCTACAATGTTGAGAAAGCCTTTGATTTAATGATAGGGGAGATCGAGAAGTCCCAGAATCCGTCGCAACCCACAGGAGGGAACAAGTGTGCCGTAATGTGATACGGAAACTGAAGCAATGTGAATAAGCACAGAACCTAAAATGCTTCCGCTGACTGTCAGTTGCTGCTAGAAGGAAAGTCTCATGTGTTCACTATGTGCTTGCGGGTGGTGTTTGCAATGGTGTGATGAAGACAATCGTTTTCTAAGCTCCCTGCGAAGTACGTCTGCCATTGAACAGATTGAAGTTTGTTCTGTTTTCCACATTTGCCCTTCTTTCTACCCCTACACTTCCCCATTTGTCTCCCTTATCTCCTTCTCCTTCTACAATCATTATTTCTATTTCATCCTTTATTACCTTTGTGGCGTTCCCCAGTCATTGTCTCTCTTAATAGCCATTGCCTTGGAGATAGTGGATGTTTCGAGCTAAGTATATGGCGACTAATAGAATAGAGAAGTACGGGCTCGAGATTGTTCCAGATGAAATTGGCATGTACTTACTATATGATTTCTTATGAAAACTTATTGGAAGATTCACCCACTTCTTCCAACCCCAGGGGAAGGAGCTTTTTCGGCTTGTCGTAACAAGAGTTGCTCGCTGGCAGAGCGAAGAAAAGGGATGGTAGAACTGAACCACCACAGGAACTAACCGGTTTCACATCATGGCAAGCAAGATGATACTAAGTCTTAGACCAATGGCGGTCTCATTCTTATCGGCGCTGGCACTGATATTCTACTGCGACAAAGGATAGGCCATGGAGACACCAAGCAGATGTATTTTCATGGAAAGTTACGCTTTATAGGGAAAAAAAATTAACAACTGCGCAGGATCCCTGCTTTTCGGATGCAACTGCTACTAATAACTAATAACTTGTGATGAGGGTTGCATAACTCTGAGAACTCGATGAGGTATCAAAAAAGAAACCTAGTAGGTGCTTAGCTTAACAACGAGCTTCCTGTCTAACTCTAAAGTATATCAGTAGTCAGGCTCTAACAGGTTAATAAAATCTTGATTAATTGATTGCATGTCTAACCTACTAAATGGTGGACTGTATGTACCAAACCAAGTCTAGGCAAGTAAGGTAACTGGTAAGCCGCTGGGTCACGCAGGTAGCTGGGTCAGCACCGTATTCCATAGAAAATTGTCTATTTTCAAATATCAATATCTCAACTACTGTTAAATATATCGGGCTACAACTCAAATATATTATTAAGATATATATAATCTATACACAACTTATCTATTAGTGAAAAAAGATTAAGGAATATAAATTACCGCTATATACTAAAAAATACTATAAAATATATAGTAATTTACTTTACCCCGGTAAATAAGGATTATTAGAATTTATAAATCTTAAAGATTATTCTCATAGTATATAATAGACGATATATTAAGTTTGAAGTACTTATTAACTAGATTGGCTGAGATATTGGTGTTTGAAATAAGGCCCTATTGTATAGAATACAGAGCTGACCCAGCGGCTTTCCGGTTACGTTAGTCAATTCTGCTGATTAAGCCACTGCCCCTCATGACACAAGAGTTAAACTACTTCCATGCATAGTTTATGCCCTAATGGCTCCAGGCCACCCAAGTTTTTACCCCTCATTGACCGTGACCAAGACTAGGACATTTGTGGCTCCTGCTCAACTTCACTCCACATTGCCAGAATCTGAGAGCCTAACCTGCTAGGACCGACCATCATACTTGCGCCTTCAGTTCCTACAAGATGCTTGATATCGCTGATTTCGTCAGTGACCGCGGTGGAAACCCAAACAAGGTCAAGGAGAGCCAGCGGAAACGGTTCGCTTCAGAAAATGTAGTCGATGAAGTTCTTACGCTATATGAAGGAGCCCGCCGAGGTACGTTTTTCGAAGATATCATTACTTCGCCGAAGGTTAGCAGACTCTGAAACACACTGCAGCACGGTACGAGGTTATGCAGATAGGCTCTCAGCTCAATGGACTTCAAAAAGAAATTGGAAAGAAGAAAAAGGTCCGTGTCACTCATGGCTACAAGTAGTTTTGTTCTTTCTCCCAATCTTCTGCTATCAAAATCCACACTAATATTTATCGCCCAAACAGAGCAAGGAAGATGCAAGCTCCCTTCTCGAAGAGAAAGCTGCGCTTGAACAACGCAAGAAAGAAGCCGAAGACCTTGCTCTTGAAAAGGAAAAGCAACGAGACAGCAAACTCCGAACCATTGGTAATTATGTGCATGACTCGGTCCCTGTGAGCAATAACGAAGTAGGTCTCTACCGCTCATTAAAAGTTTTGTTTGGCAAAGAGACTGACATGAGTCATAAGGACGACAATGTGGTGGTTAGGACATGGGTACCCGAAAATGTCACTGTCGAGAAGCGCGATTGCCTTTCTCATCATGAAGTTCTCACTCGCCTTGACGGCTACGACCCCGAACGTGGTGTCAAGATTGTAGGCCACCGTGGATACTGCTTGACAGGATATGGACTTTTCTTAAATCTTGCATTGATCAACTACGGCCTGGAATTCCTTTGGGGAAAGGGTTATAAGCCGAACCAGCCTCCTCAATTCATGCTGAAGGACATGATGGCAAAAACAGCCCAGCTTGAGCAATTTGACGAGGAATTGTACAAGGTAACAGAAAGTGAGGACAAATCTACAGACAAATACCTCATCGCCACTTCAGAACAGCCGCTGTCGGCTTTGCATGACGGTGAATGGCTCCAAGACAAGGATCTCCCAATCAAGTGAGTGGGGCGAATGCATTATTAATAATCTAGCTAACCAAGATGCAGGTATGCTGGGTATAGCACATGTTACCGCAAAGAAGCAGGAGCTCATGGTAAAGACGCCTGGGGTATTTTCCGCGTCCACCAGTTTGAGAAGGTAAGGAATGTCACGTTATGTGCCGAAGTTCTTTTTTCTCACTGGGTCATAGATCGAGCAATTCGTCCTTACCAAACCTGAACAATCGTGGGAAGCTTTTGAGGAGATGATGGCTACCTCGGAAGAGTTCTACAAGTCTCTTGGGCTTCCCTATCAGATAGTTGCCATTGTGTCCGGAGCCTTAAACAATGCGGCGTCTAAGAAATACGACCTCGAAGCCTGGTTCCCATTTCAGGGAGAGTACAAGGAGTTGGTTTCTTGCTCCAACTGCACAGATTATCAAGCCCGGGCTTTGGAAATTAGGTATGGCACTAAGAAAGCGACAGATGTTAAGAAGTCGTATGTTCATGCTTTGAATGCCACCCTGTGTGCTACTGAGCGGACGCTTTGCTGTATTCTTGAGAACTATCAAAAGGAGGATGTACGTGTTCTTTTGATATTGACTCATTCTCAAAAAAATATGGCTGACACAGAGGACAGGGATTTATTGTGCCAGAGCCCCTTCGGAAATACATACCAGGTGCTCCAGAGTTTCTCCCTTTTACCAAGGAACTCCCGAAGGATAGCACTTCCCAGAAAGCTAAGGGCAAGCAGAGTTCTAAGACAGCAAGTGGCGCGGAACAAGCCACAAAGAAGATACAGGATTTACGGGTGTGAGTGCCAAAGGCGCTGAAAAGTTCCTTCTCTATCTGGAATGATTGCAGCAATGGCGGTAATTGCGATTCTCATTGCACGGTGTTGCGATACAATCATATACTAACTAGCATGTAGAGCATTTGTAGAAGGCAGACAGTCTCTATGAGCATCTTTCGCGACAAATGATAATAGAACTAACTGTATACGATTTCCATCTATAACAGTGCATATTAGGAGCAATACCTCTCTATAGTTCTGTGTATCGAGTAGGTGAAAATAAGATTATACCCTATGGTGCTGCATAAAAAAGAGTGGAAGACAAAGTTAATTGATCAGTTCATGGTGGGGTTGAGGTCGGTCCCGCCATTACCCCTCCATGTTGGCGGTCCACTACACCCATATCTCCGATGAGTCAAAAAATAAAATTAAAAGAAAAAGTAAGAGTTAGAGAGGAAAGTGTGTGTCAGAGGGATTCCACGGCGGGCCTCCGGTCCCGGAGTCTTCCAATTTACATATGAAATCCAACGACTTCTCCCATTCCATATCCAATACTCTCAACTGCCCTTCCCTTCCTTCACCACCTGATACATTCTGCCTCATTTACTTTAGATCTCGACTACTTTGACACAATGTCAGCCATTCCCAAAGAAATCAACAGTCATCCAGCCTCAGGTCTTTCTCCAAACGCATCGTTTCAGTCCGCCCCATCTAGTCATGGAAACTCGGTTTTCACAAACCGCACGATCCCTCTGCCCAATGCCAAGCATTTGAAGCCATTCGCTACTGAGGATATCAAAGTTCTTCTTTTGGAGAATGTAAATCAAACGGGGCGAGATATTCTTACAAAGCAAGGCTATCAAGTAGAGTTTTTAAAGTCATCACTTCCTGAGGATCAGCTCATAGAAAAAATTCGGTGAGTCGAAGTCAGCATTGGCATTCCGTACTTTAGAGTCGTGCACTAATCATTCTTCAAGAGATGTGCACGTCATCGGTATACGTTCGAAGACGAAGCTCTCAGCTCGTATTTTGAAAGAGGCTCGGAATCTTATAGTCGTCGGTTGTTTTTGTATTGGAACAAACCAAGTGGACCTCCAATATGCTGCAGAACACGGCATTGCTGTATTCAACTCTCCATTTAGCAACTCTCGAAGCGTTGCAGAGTTGGTTATTGCTGAGATTATTGCACTAGCTCGGCAACTCGGTGACCGGTCTAATGAAATGCACAATGGCACTTGGAACAAAGTAAGCAACAAGTGCTGGGAGATACGTGGGAAGACATTGGGTATGTATTAAATGTCACGACGGTAGGGGAACTCCGCTGACTTTTGAGGAAAGGTATAATAGGTTACGGCCATATTGGTTCCCAACTATCGGTTCTAGCGGAGGCCATGGGCATGTCTGTCCTTTACTATGATGTGGTGAATCTGATGGCATTGGGCACTGCCCGCCAGGTTCCCACTTTAGAGAGTCTACTTTCCCAGTCAGACTTCGTCACATGCCATGTACCGGAACTTCCGGAAACAAAAGAGATGATTGGACAATGCCAATTTGAACAAATGCGGGACGGCAGTTATTTGATTAATGCTAGTCGAGGAAGTGTCGTTGACATCCCGGCATTGATTCACGCGATGCGATCTGGCAAGGTGGCTGGGGCCGCACTTGATGTCTATCCGAACGAACCTGCTGGAAATGGTGACTATTTCAATAGCGAGCTTAACAACTGGGCAGCGGATCTTCGCAGCCTTAAGAATGTGATTCTTACTCCTCACATCGGAGGTAGTACCGAAGAAGCGCAGCGTGCAATTGGTGTGGAGGTGGCAGACGCTTTAGTGAGATATGTCAACGAAGGCACAACTTTAGGTGCCGTCAACCTTCCCGAAGTCGCCCTTCGTTCCTTGACTATGGATGAACCGGAACATGCTCGAGTACGTCAACTATCATTATATACCAAGGCTTATGCGGTGGAAGTTATCGTTAATTCTTTGACTACAGGTGATCTACATCCATCAAAATATTCCTGGCGTCTTAAGGAAAGGTGTGTCTTACAAGTGCTGTACTTGTGTGTGTATATGGAACCCACACTAATAATAATAGTGAATGAGATCCTGGGAGACCATAACGTCGACAAGCAAATGACCGATAGCAGAGGTGACGTGCGTTATCAGCTACCCATACTTGGAGATTATCTCAACGTTAACTATGTATAGGTGGCCTACCTAATGGCTGATATCAGTGATGTTGATAACGCTACTATCAAAGATCTATACGAGAGGCTTGAAAGCCTTTCATGTACGATTCCCTTATCCTCTAAATCAGCAATAATGCTAACAACTAGTTTAGCTCGGATCATGACACGTATATTATACTGAGGACACATCGGCATATGGAAGCCTCATTCTAAAATTAGTTATTGGTAGATTTGATTTCGGTAGACCCATCCCTCAACGGCCCAAGTCTACCATCTGCCAGATAAGAAAGTTATCGGCTCTCACGCTACCGCCGCGCTAGTTTGTGTGGTTGAGTGCTTAAAACCTTGGTTATCGATACGTCAAGTGGTGTCCGGATAAGAGAAACTTCAGGTATGCTGCTCACATTCGACACATGATACTGATGCCTATGGAGAAATATTTGTTCAACACTTCGGCCTTGTTGCGCCCTTATTCTCTTAGTACCTTGAGCCCTGCCTTGAATTGTGAAATAGGCAAACTTGCCTTCAGATTTTCCATTCTCCAAGTGTTAAATTCAAAAAGTAGTAAAAGATTCCCAGAAGCTGCAATAGACCTAAGCAGCAATTGTATCAAATTTCCAGACACAAGAGCGTTTGCAAGACCTGCCACTTTAGAAATAGGTGAGGTGCATGTTGAAGCACAACCCCATTGCATAGAGCCCTTTGTGCCTTAGATAATACAATTGACTATCAATCTACCTCCGATATAGATCCCTCTCCGCAGGCCGAGAACCTTCTCTAAAGCTTGGGCTTCGACTGCGCCTTCTTGAAGGATTCTCCCTTGTATAATCTCGCCTATTGTTTAGATAGGCATCCCGAGGCTGTTCCCCCATGCCATTATAAGTCGGAACATAAGAATCCACATTGCTGTCTGGCCGTCCACCAAAACGGCCCAAATGGTTCCTGTCGCGTCCTACACGACCAGGGTAGCCTGGCACCCATCCCTGATGAGAGGGCAGAGGAGGCTTTGGCGGCAGACCTCCTTCCTTGTGCCATGACGAAAGAGCCCGATGTGAATCATCCTGCTTCACCCGACCCTGATGTGGTTCATTGCCTCGATTATCAAAAGATCGTCGGGGGGCATTTCCTTGGCCACCATGGGGGTTTGGCTTTCCGGGACGCGCGGCGCCCGGTATACGACTATTTCTGGAATCTGCTCCGGTTCGGGGTCCGGAATTTGAGCTCCAGCCACCATTGGGGCCCATGCCCACAGAGCCTCCAGCAGGGGCTGGGGGCATAACTGCTCGCTGGCCTCGGAACCTTCTTCTATCAAACTCATGAGAGTCCTCGAAACGAGGAAGATCGCCGGGGTGTGCAGGTAGGGGATGGTTAGAGAAGTAAGGGTGTTTCAACGCGTCGATAGCATTGATTCTTTTTCGCCAATCGAGTTTCAAGAGCTCACCTAATAAAGATACGGCGGCTGGATCTTGCCTATCAATATATCAGCATCCTTTTCCACATTATGGTGTGAGACGCCTTTAAGCTTGATTCTGAGAATGATGGATGCCCGTACTCTTTGAAGACCTCAGATAGATTCCCTGGCTTGCTACCAAAGCTTTTCACCCCTTCACAGCCTGGGAGCGAGCTCCAGCCAGGCATGTTTTCTTCAGAAGGTGTGCCCACAAGATTAAATATAAGCTGGGCTTGGTTGAGATCACTAGTGCCGGCAAGGATTGGTTTGCCTTTGAACATTTCGCCGAAGACGCACCTGTCACCGTCAGAAAGTAAGTCGCGAGTATCAAACTGAGAGAATTACCCGACACCCCACATATCAATCGCAGTTGTATAGCGTCGTAGTTGAAGAAGGAGTTCTGGAGGGCGGTACCATCGTGTAACAACCAAAGTGGTATAGTCTCTTTTAGCTTCCCCTCCACCTTTTCCAGGCTGAGGAGGATGTTCATCATACGGTCGAGCTAGCCCGAAATCGGCAATCTGAAGAATACCTTTGTTACTGATGAGTAGGTTGGCAGCTGTGTAAGAGTAAGCTACAAGGCCCCTTATTGCGCTATGTGGGAACTGACCTTTCATATCACGATGCAATATTCGATTCTGTGTCAAGTTAGAAACAAATTTTAGTAAATTTTTATGAAAACGGTATTACCCCATGGAGATACTTGAGTCCTTCGAGGAGCTGCAGCATGTAGCATTTAATCTGAGGCTCAGTAAATTGCACAGATGGGTTTTCTAAGAGCCCCGACAGGTCGTGTTCCATATAGGGAGTAACCATGTACATGCTCGGTTTCTTTCGGCCTTCCCCTGGCCCAGGGTCAGCTCCCTGGAAAAGGAGAACGTGTAGTCCTTCCTACCTTTGCTTCGTTCCACAGCCATTTCTCTTAGCCGGAGGATATTGATGTGGGATAGCATTTTCAAGAGTTTGATTTCACGGAGTGCAGTGATAGGAAACTTTATCGGGATGTATTAGCCCAAAGCGTTGCTGCTCAGCAGGTAGCCATCTTACCCCGTCCTTCTCATTATGCATGAGGATCTTCTTTAAAGCGACTGTTGAGCCATCTTTTTTGGATCGCGCCTTGTAGACTTCACTGGCCAGAAATTTTAATATATTGACTTGCCTACAGAACGCGGGCACCTACCCGAACGTGCCTTCACCAAGTTTACCAAGGAACTCATACTCACGGATGCTAGTGCATCCGTGAAACCGAGAGCTTCCGTTGCTATTCCGTTCGAGAGAAGCTACCACCATTTTTTTCTAAGAGCGACAAGCAATACCTATTTCTTGTAGTGTATGGCGAATGGCCCGCCCCAGCGAATGGCGATTGCTCTATACCAAGAGGCTTGCGCAAGTTCAATTCCTGATGGTAGAACTCAGTGGACCGAGGATAGGCTCGTAGTAAGTATGGCTTACCAGGACTATCAGGGTGATGCGCGACGCACAGGGGTTGGGGACTGATAATCATTAGGTCGGGATGTAATCTAGGATAGACGGTTTGTAAAGCGAGGCAGAGGTATATCGTATATCGGCAAACCGCACAGCGGAAGTAACTATAGCTAGATAGCACTGATCATAACAGCCCTCATACTTTAACGTTTGACGGGTGATAAGAGCTTGCATCCAGTCATAGTTATTGTTGTATTCAAGATACCTTCAATGTATGTCGATCCAACCGGGAAAGGCCTGGGTTCACGTGACTACACATCCGCACTCGGTGCTGATGGATCTCGCTCATTGATGGATCTCACTCTCGTCTCTTCAAATATAATTCCCACCGTCCCAATTGAAGTTAGAACTCCGAGAATAAAGAAGATCTCCAAAGGTATCTCTAGATGACTTTCTTTCGCTGATGAAACATGGACTGACCATATTATGTACAGACATGGCTGCGAATCATCCCATTCATATTCACCCAGCACGTCCCCTTTATCGCTTTACAGCTACGGCTTTGGGCGCTAGCATGTGGTTTTTTGTACGGGCCTAATCATGGATTCTCTTTCAATGAATGACACTAACTATAGTTGCTGACGACTAGCTAATGTACCGAGCCAAGAAGGATGGCCCTGCTTTACTGGGATGGAAGCATCCGTGGGAACACTAAGTACTATAAACCAAATTAATTACAGAACAAGCTTGCGGGATTTACATTGGACATTGTGAATCAATTGGCCGCCCTCGTTTCGTGATATTCTCCAGTTAGACAGGAACGGCGCGTACAGACATTACATCTCTATTACTCCTTACTCCTTGCTCAGCGTTATAGGATTCCAGTAGTGGCAGTAGCCTAATTACGGCAGAGTCATCGACTGAGGAAGATGCTGGGCTATGAGGCGTAATGGCCGTGATGTATGCTTTTTAAAAGTAAAATTCTATTGCTCTACCAAAATGGCGATGACTTTACTTTTTGGGGCCATTTACTCTTGCATTTCCTCCAGTAGCACCTTGTATCGACGGCGCTTTTTGTGATGGCCTGGCCGTAAGAGTACGTAAGCTCGCCCCAAGGCCCGAGCAAGACTGGGGAAAAGTGCACGCTCCGCAAGGCAAGAGAAAATGAAGCTGCCCACGGCAAGTGCAAGCAGCGAAATAGCGAAATTCCCTGATAGAAATGTCAACTGCATAATTTGCACCACCCACCTAGAGGGCCTGAAGAGCATATAACATGAGATGATCAAGTCTACAACAACCACAGATATGAAGGCTCCTGATAACTGTTAGCAACAGATTCAAGCAGTACCAACGGTTACTAACTATTTGATCTCATAGGCTTTCGGAATGGAGGCCCCACGCTGAGAACAACACTTGCTAGCGTGTACTGAAAGCATGAGACCAGGAACAGGGCGGTGTTCTCAGAGTTCTCAATATTACTATTATCCAAATCAATCTCTGGGGGCTTGAACCTGTAGCTAGGGTTAGGATGTATTTCTCAATTTGTACCGTTCGAATCAAATACCGACATACCATGGCTGTGACTGAACGGCTTTGTAGGCCACAAGTTGAACCAGTATACAAATTACAATTTGGCCGAGTAATGGCGTCAGCACCTTTCGCGAGACAAGATCGGCAGTTGGGCGTTTTCTGGAAAGTACGGGATAGGGGCCGGTCCATCCCACTTTGAAAGAGAGGTCAGCGCGAACAATATTGTACTCTCCTTCCATCGTTCACCTGGTGTCCGAGTTGCTTCACTTACTAAAAATTGCGATTGGTAAAATGAGTACCAAATCTATGAATAGAAACTAGAACAAGTCAGTAATTATCATACACAAGATCCATTCCTTTGGTACGTACTTGAAAATCACCTAAGTTTGATGCTGACGTGTACAGGAAACTGACTGTGGAAAATTGAATCGCAGAGTAGAGACTCATATATTTGAAGCAACAAAAGCTTGTAACTAGAGCGGCTCTCCCTTCTCTGTGAACTAGTTAACAGCAGCGACTATTTCAATCGAGAGGTGGGACTATACCTGATCAAAGTTGGCACGCAGGATACATCAAATTGGCGACTAGTGAATGGTGCAGCCACAGATGCCTCAGCATCAGAAAGCGATATCCCAACATCTGCAGCTTTCAACGCGCCACAGTCATTGGCACCATCGCCACAAAACCCACAGCAATAATCAAGTGACTGAAGTTTCTCCACAAGTTCATGTTTTTCATCAGGTGACATTCTAGCGAACACTTTGGTTCGCACAAGCATCTGGATTCAAGTTAGCTCTATGCAAGGAACCCAACTGAGAGGGTCATATTTGGCAAACGAAAGATGTACATACTCGTTGAAGTACAGTCTCATCGCCAAAGTCCAAAATCCATCTAAATACCTCTCCGCTGACCGCAAGCGAGAAATTGTGTATATTAAAGACATTGACAGGTATAGACAAGTCCAAATCCGTTGAATTCACAGAAGGCTATGACTTGTCAATTTCATTTTTGTATAGAGTAGAACGGGTGTCACACCATCAGTGTGCTTGGATCAAGCTTCAATGCTGGATTATCTACATTCTCCCAGCAAAGTGAAGATGCCAGACCATGGGAACGATCTGCTTGGAGTTAGATAAGGTGAGCAGAGCACGCAGTACAAACTTACCTTCTACAATGTGCGGTATAAAGCATTGCTCGCTTTTGCTGACCATTCCACACTCACGAGCGACACTAACTGCGGTAAGTATATTGTCTCCAGTGCACATGACATTCCGTATTCCTGCTTGGTTCAATTCAGTAATAGTCTCAGTGGTTGCTTGTTTCAGCTTGTTTTCAAATATAATGAAGCCAACAAATTCCAGATCACTTTCAGCATCTCCGCGAGTCATTTTTTGCACTTTCATCCAGCTCAACTTCTGTTCGTATCTAGCGGCGCAGGCAATAACCCTATAACCTTTGTGGGTGTACTGGCTCAGTATATCTTCAAAGTCTTGAGGCACTATTATAGTTGGACTGAATGTTAGTGCTATGCCTTATGCTCGTGCCCCATTGGATATACTGACGACTGTCGGGAAGGCATATGGCTCTGACGCTTTCTGGTGCACCCTTGACGAAGATGCTAGCACCATTGTCACCAAATTGCCTTACAATAACGCTCGCGCGTCGAAGTTCAGAGACAAATTCAAAATTCCGTAAAATACCAAGTTCAAGTGGTGCCTTTATCATTCTGATATCAGCACCCGCAACAATATGCATTCCAAATCGAAGAGTACGATCTGGTACAGGAAAAGCATACATACAGTGAAATTGCTCTGGCGAAGATTCTCTGAAGGGGCAGGTGGCTTTGCAATGGGCGGCATTATTGTTTCAAATTTGGAATCTGGCTGTTCAGTACCATGGCTGCCGCCTTCCTGGTAAGACCAGCCAGTAAATTGAAACATTTTCACGTCAAGAGGGTCACCTAAAAGCTCGCCGTCCACAATTCTCAACGAGTGGCAGGTGGCCATGATGTAGGCTAAAACATCACGCTTCTTGCGGTCGTAGGAAGCATCAAATGTTGAAGCTGAGGGAGACCCTAGAGTCACGTCCGAGAGCAAGTCTGATAGCCTGATATTAGTTAGCTATAGCCGAAATATGAGTGGCTGTGGATGACAAACCTCATTTCTCGATTTACAGTCCGCACCCCAAGAACATCCAATCCATCTTCAGTTAGGGTTCCTGTTTTATCGAAACAGATCACGTCTAATTTACCGCCGACATTTACCCTAGAGACCAGGTTAGCGCAGCTAGGGGCACTCAGAAACATGATACTCACTTCTGTGGACTAATGCAAAAAATGTTTTGATTTTTCAACCGCGAAAGTGCAAAGTTCGTACCAATTGTCAGCGTAGCAGGTAAAGCAGGTGGAACAACGATTGTTATCAAATCGAGAGCTCTGACAATGATCAAATGCCAGGAGAGCTAGATAAAGTTAGCTTGTTCTAAAATAGTCTCTGGGTGCTTACACCTAGTCGGATAAAGTTGAAAAGGGAGGCCACAAATCCTAGAATAGCGACCATTGCCATAACAGATATGTAACGGAATGAATCTCGATAGAATTTGAAGCCAGAGGGCTTTGGGAAAAGCATAGAGCGAACTAATGCGCCTTTAGTTGTCAAAAATCCCGTTCGGACAACAATTGCTAGAGCAATGGCATCGTCATCATCAACATTATGAGGGCGCCGTGCTCGGATGACTTTTGTTCCACCGAAAAGGAAATGTTTTGCTATGTTTGGATGGACAGAGGGGGCGTTCAGATTAAGATACTTAAGTGCATCGTCTGTTAATGGGGTCTTGGACACGGGTACGGATTCACCTGGTCCTTGTCAGCACTTCCTATTAAAAGGGACACCTAATATATGGGCATACCTGTGAGCATGCTCTCATTTACGATGCAGTCACCTGACAGTAAGATACAGTCGCAAGGGACTTGGCTAAGCGATGGATCGGAGAATTCGAATACATCACCCGGGACAAGGTCTCGAGAGGGAACCGACCTCCCTGTAGCGTAAGTCAGTAACTAACCGACAAGGTGTCATAAAGACTAATTGTGAAGACACAAACTCACAAAACCCATTCCTAAGCACACGAATGTCACACTCGAACAAGGAAATCTCCCTCAGGCGACTCATAGTCTGGATGGTGTTAAGGCATTACACGTGTTGTCAAGACAGAGGTAGTGACTCACAGACTTGGTCTCAATTACGGTTGCGCCAATGCTGAAGACAGAGATAAGGAATATACAAACAGCATAGTAGTAATATTCATCCAAAGACCAAAGAACGAGGCTCGCAAGTTGGAACATATAAAATGGGTGAAAGGCCTTTACTGGTAAGAATTTCCCTTCGATATAATGCGATGGGGGCTTCATTACTTACTTCATCCATGAGAAGCTGAAGCAATGGTTTCTGCTGAATGTCAACCAGATTCTTGCCAAAAATCTGCTCTCGACTATCACGATCATCGGCATCTAGTCCGCTTCGCATCACTTTCGCATTTGTCCACAAAGGGTCTCTCCAACCGCTTATTAGGCAGAACTTGTCTTCCAGAGGATGGTAAAAGAACCGAAGGTATCTAAAGTCAATGTAACGTAAGAACGATATGGTGGGGTCATTTTCTTCATCAAAGGAATGACTGTCTGGGTCTGCAAATACACTAGAAAGCGGCCGCCCATAAGCTTGACCGCGAACCTGGCATACGCTGAATTGATTCCATTGGTCCTGTAAAGTATTAGGTAGGGCGAGAGCCGTCTGGAATAGTTACCCACCTCAATGGCAACCCATTGACAAATGCGAAGTGGCGTGGGTTTCCCTGTCAATCGTACACGCCATCTTGGAAACCATCGAAACACGAGATAGGCGAAGCCAAGGGACAGGACACATAACAGAGAGTATAGAACTAAACCAGAGAATTTGGTTGAAAATCCGGCGATCACAAACGTTAAATCCTCCGATTCAATATATATTTTCTGGTTGAGCCTGCTATCAAGCCGTCGGTCCTGCGCATACGAACTAACAGAAAGATGCCGGCCAGGGAGGAGGGGGTCTTCGGCGGAACCTCTAGAAAATGACGGTCGCTTTGACCTGAATGATGATCTAACAGATCTATTTGGCGGACTAACATCACCTACGACCAAATTATCGGCTTCGCTCTCAGCGTCCACGGCATCTTCATCTGGCCACTCCACAAAGTCTTCTTCATCACGGAAGTACGTAAAACTGACCACCGAGTCCTTCCGGTTGCGACGATGGGAGAAAGAAACGACACTTGATGGAATGCTCTCTGAGATGGGTCCATCAAAAACCTACTCAACCTTGGTTATGCCTGGCCCATAAGTAGAAGCATATTCTTTGGGAAACAAACGCACCTCATGGCGAGCCATCTCTACATCTGAGACAACGCTATAACTACGAAAGTATCAGCAATACTCACAACACCGTTCTTCAGCTTGGTTTTTGAGACCTGCTTCGCATAGAGTCACGCCGGTGGCTAATCATAGACCGCGAGAGCTCAGGCACCTGAGGCTCCGTTGGCGATAACGCCGAGTCATTCACTGTCTCACACATCTTCACAATCGGCTCCAGAAGCTCTCTGAACGTCCCTCGAAGTAGCGGAGGAGAGGAGGGAGAGAGAAAGGAAAATAGAAGTTAGACTTATGGTAACATCAGTGGACGACAGGCACAATGGTAGCCAATGTGTTTCGGGTTCTATTTTCTTGAACTGTGTGGAACCCGTCCATAGAAGGTATGAGCGATCGATCTATGGCATTGCATTTCTATCGACACGTGACCAGGACCATACAGTGACTGGTATTTGATATAACACCCGTTTATGGTTTAGCGGAGGTTTTCACGACCGCCTACCAAATAGACCTATACTGTGTGGCAGAAACCTGTTAACTCGAACTCTGTAGATTTAGTATACCATTTCCGTGCCTCTGTCCCGCTTACTATCGTAAAGATGGTAGGCGGTAGGACGGAAGTACACTAAACCCTAAATGGATGTTATATATTTCAATTTCCTCCCACTTACTCCGACGGGTTTCCTTATCAGTCCCGATTTGATGCCTATGACACAGGATTGAAGATAAAATCAATGTACTCTGGATACTCAGGGAGACATAATAACAACCTGAACTACATTAATCGTTTTCATCGGAGCGATTCAATACTAGCATGTTAATATGACTGAAATTGGGGGCAATGATGGAGGTATTATGCGGAGCGACGATGGTATCGATGGGTAGGTAGTTGTTTCTGTAATAATACTCAGTATCAATCTAGAGCAGGGGATGCTAAAGCAAGTCCAGCCAGCTTGGGAGTACTTTCGCAAGATGTTGCACCACAAAATACTGTATCTCACATACTACAATTTCATAATGAGTCAAAGCTTATGACCTTGACAACACTAAGAGATTATATATTCACCTGAATCGGAGATTTAAATAGCGAGCCTGAAGATAAAAAATATGTTGATAGTGATCGATCTAGGTACGTTAGACATAATGATACATTCAGGTTGTATGTACGAAGTAGTCCACCGGTATCTGCGGGGAGTTCTATCTGGTATTAGTAGTACACATTCCGAGCTATCTAACATACTATTGTTTACAGCTGTTGTTACAGTAAGGTATTGTTGGGAGGGTTCCAAAGGTTCTCAACCAGCAGAGGTCTCAGTCCCGCCAAGCCCCTCGGCCCAAGGGCGCTAAAGATCCCACCAAGCCAGTATTCCAGACTCCCAAAACTTAGGCGTATCAAATTCTTCCTCATCTCCTTCATCAGCGACAACCCCTCAGCCAACCTCCCCTATCTTTCTCGACCCATCTATAAGCCTGCTGAACAACATTTTCACAATGTCTGAGCCTATTAGAAATAAGAAAGCAGATTTTCCGGTTGCCCCGTAAGTCTCGTTTGCGTTGATTAACCTCGTATCCTCTGCAAAGACACATCTTCCCAGTTGGACACGTCTTGCCTTCTAACGATATCTCGATAATAGGACGCCTCAAAACACCCCAGCGAATAATGCCCCTATTTCCTCCCATGCTCAGCAGCCCGGAGTGTCCAGCATCAAAGAAGGTATTCACCCGAGCATTCTCCTTGCCAGCCACTTGTTTCTAACATTATCACCCTAGAATCTCTTGATCATGCCACAGCTGCTTCTTTATTCGCGAGGAACCCTGGGCTCGTCTCCATGATTCAAGGAAAATTGGGATCACTTGTCGGCCGCTCTTCCGGATATATTGAGTCTCTGCCCACACCTGTCCGCCGACGTGTCGCTGGACTGAAAGGTATCCAGAAGGAACACGCCAAGCTGGAAGCCCAATTCCAGGAAGAGGTGTTGGAGCTCGAAAAGAAGTACTTTGCAAAATTCACTCCTCTGTATCAAAGGCGTGCCACGATTGTCAATGGGGCTGCAGAACCAACCGATGGTGAAGTTGATGCGGGCAAGGGCGAGGAAGATGATGTAGATGTTAAGAGTGAAGATGAGTCTAAGACGTCCGAGGACAAGGTGTCATCAACAGCCGGGATACCAGAGTTCTGGCTTTCTGCTATGAAAAATCAAATTTCCCTGGCAGAGATGGTGACTGAACGAGATGAAGAGGCTCTCAGACATCTCACCGATATCCGAATGGAGTACCTTGATCGCCCAGGATTTCGCCTGATTTTCGAATTCTCTGAGAATTCATTCTTCACAAACAAGACTATCTCGAAAACGTACTATTACAAGGAAGAGAACGGGTACGGTGGTGACTTCATTTATGATCATGCTGAGGGCACCAAGATCGACTGGAAAGATGACAAGGATCTCACTGTCCGTATCGAAAGTAAAAAGCAAAGAAACAAGAGTGAGTTCAAGTTCGTGCAAAGAGAAAGTCATGAAGCTAATATCTCGATTTTCCAGATACAAAACAAACTCGCGTTGTCAAGATAACCGTGCCCACGGAGTCTTTCTTTAATTTCTTTTCTCCCCCACAGCCCCCAACGGACGACGATGATACTGTCGCTACCGACATTGAAGAGCGGCTTGAGCTTGACTACCAGCTTGGAGAGGATATCAAGGAAAAGCTCATTCCTCGCGCAATCGATTGGTTTACTGGGGAGGCTCTTCAGTTCGAAGAATTGGGCGATGATATGGACCCGGATGATTTTGACGACGAGGACGACGAGGACGACGAGGATGAAGATGATGATGACGACGACGAGGACGACAGGAAGTCTGATGGGGATGTGGATGATGACTCTGATGAAGAGGTACCCATTTCCTTCTCCCGACATCTACCACGTGTGATCTATGAATGCTGACTTGAGCAGGATGGTACTTCGAAGCCCAAGAAGGAGGCCGCAGAATGCAAACAAAGCTGAACGATCAGCTAATTGTTGAAAGTGCAAATTCAAATGGTGCTATAATCATCTCCACTTGACTTCTGGTGCCTGGTTTTCTTCTTTTGTTTCTCTCAGATTGTTTCTTTTAATCATGCGTGGCTCCTAATCCATTCAATAGCGGTCCACTGTGTGTATGGTCAAATTTCTCTGTGTAACCCATGCATACTTCACCATTAGATTGGTGGGCATGTAGTGGATGGTAAAGCTTGTTGGATGGAACCATCAAGCAGTCTCGGTCCTTAATCATTTTTTCTTTCTCATCGCCCTCTAAGCTCCTCCTTCTATCACCACCTTTTCTCCTTTTCCTCCTTTTTTCTTTGATACTGTTTTCTGTCCTACCATATAAAATGCTGGCGGCGCGAGGAGTACGCTTCCATTCAATTATCTACACTTTTATCAAAACTATCTGCCTATACTTTGAAGATATGAATTATGGCAGCACGTGGTAAAAGGGAATATTAATCATAAGCATTTATCGTAGGTTTACCCAGTAGTTAATTTCTATAACACGTCGAAGCTGCTCCTATAACCCGATGAATCTGATCTCACCGCTTATTCAGAATTGGCTGGTTTTTCCCACGTAGCCAAACTCCACTCATGGGGCCCTAGATCAGCTAGCACCTTATAGGCGGTCGACTTCACCTCGCGAGGTATGCTGTTGTTGGGCTTGAGCTCATTATGAGAAGAAGGCATGTCTCAAGTGGGTGGGTGACAGTATGTCGTAAATTCTTTGTGTTTATAGACCTCCAAACCTACATGGATATCTAGAGGACCACAGAGCTACGAGCGTCATGATTAGTGATAAATGTTACTAGTTATAACTACCTGCCCTCTCTACGGCCATAAGTGATTCTTGGCGTTGACAGGTGTGGAGATTGTTTTCGATGAGTGGCGCGGTACTCCAGCCTCAGGGGTCGCGGCTCGCTAACGGCCAGCTGTTAGCCAGTTCAATAACTCCTCTCCTCTCTAAAGCATTAAAACTCCGCTCTTTTCCATGATTTGAAGTTCAGGCCCGTCTGTGGTGTCATAAGGCGAATATATTCCGCTTTTCTATTTTCACTAATCTGTTTGCACATCAAAATATTAATTGGGTATTCAATTAATGACCTGCTGCTAGATGCCTACAACAGTGCTCGCTCGGTTTCATATACATTCCACATAGGTTCTGGTTCGGTCTCGTTTCAACTTAGGTTACAGATTCCCTGGCCAACGCAGTCCTGATGGCGCACAACTATGAGGTCGGAACGAGGGCCTGGCAGCCTGATCCGACTGAAGGATGGGTAGCATCCGAGGTCAAAGAGAAGCTTGTTGATGGTGACAAAGTGCAGCTTGTTTTTATACTGGAAAATGGGGAGGTTCGTCTTATCTGTCATACATTCGATATCCATTGGGCCACTCGACTGACTGGGTTATATAATAATAGACAAAATCTTTGGAGACCACGCAAGCAGAGTTACAGGTGGATAACAATCCTAAGCTACCTCCGTTAATGAACCCCGCTATGTTGGAGGCCAGCGAAGACCTGACGAATCTATCCCATTTGAATGAGCCAGCTGGTTTGTTTCATACTCCCAATACTCCCACAGGGGTGAGGGGCTAATTACCCTGAAGTCTTACAGGCTATCAAACTACGGTATGCGCAAAAGGAAATTTATACTTATAGTGGCATTGTTTTAATCGCCACTAATCCTTTCGCTCGAGTGGATTCGCTATATGTTCCTCAGATGGTGCAAGTTTACGCCGGCAAACAACGTGCTTCACAAGCGCCTCATCTATTCGCCATCGCCGAAGAGGCATTTGCGTAAGATACGACTCACCCCTCTTGATATATGCTATTACTCACAAGCAAGCGATGCAGTGACATGTTGCGAGATGCTAAAAATCAGACAATTGTGGTTTCTGGAGAATCTGGTGCTGGAAAGACAGTTAGCGCCAAGTACATTATGCGATATTTCGCAACTCGCGAATCCTCGGACCAACCCGGGAAATACACCACGAGTAGGGCAGATGCTATTAGTGAGACTGAGGAGCAGATCTTGGCTACAAATCCCGTTATGGAAGCCTTCGGAAACGCCAAAACAACGCGCAACGATAACTCTTCGCGATTCGGGAAGTACATTGAGATAATGTTCGATGATAGGACCAATATCATCGGTGCAAAGATCAGGACGTACCTTTTAGAGAGATCCCGTTTAGTATTTCAACCTCTCAAAGAACGCAACTATCATATCTTTTATCAGCTTGTAGCTGGTGCAACTGACGCAGAAAAGCAAGAGCTTGGTCTTGCGTCGGTTGAGGACTTCGACTATCTCAACCAAGGCGGGACGCCGACTATCGATGGTGTGGATGACAAGGCGGAATTCAATGCGACAAGGAAATCCCTAGGTACTATCGGTGTGTCAGAAGATACGCAGGCCGAAATCTTTCGCATCCTTGCAGCTCTCCTGCACCTAGGCAATGTTAAAATTACCGCCACTCGAACCGATTCTTCCTTATCTCCCTCTGAGCCCTCCCTTGCCAGGGCCTGCAGCATGCTGGGCATTGACGTCAATGAGTTTGCGAAATGGATAGTCAAGAAGCAACTTGTAACAAGAGGGGAGAAAATTACATCTAACTTGACACAACAACAGGCGACAGTTGTCCGTGATTCGGTAGCAAAGTTTATATATTCAAGTCTCTTTGATTGGCTCGTCGACAAAATTAATCGCGGTCTAGCATCCGATGAAGTTCTGACCAGATTCAAATCTTTCATCGGTGTCCTGGATATATATGGGTTCGAGCACTTTGCCAAAAATTCGTTCGAACAGTTTTGCATCAACTACGCTAATGAGAAGCTGCAGCAAGAGTTCAATCAACACGTGTTCAAATTGGAACAAGAAGAATATGTTCGAGAGCAAATTGACTGGACCTTCATTGATTTCTCAGACAATCAACCATGCATTGATCTAATTGAGGCAAAACTGGGGATCTTATCCCTTTTAGATGAGGAATCTCGGCTGCCGATGGGTTCTGATGAACAGTTTGTGACAAAACTGCATCATAATTTTGCAGCGGACAAGCAAAAATTCTACAAAAAGCCTCGGTTCGGAAAGTCGGCGTTCACCATATGTCACTATGCTGTGGACGTAACTTACGAATCAGATGGTTTTATAGAGAAGAATAGGGATACTGTCCCGGATGAACACATGGATGTTTTACGCAACTCCTCAAATCAATTCGTGAAAGATATATTAGATACGGCCGCTGCCGTCCGCGAAAAAGACTCTGCATCCATCTCCTCTAAACCAGTCGCTGCACCAGGCCGTAAAATTGGCGTTGCCGTCAACCGCAAACCTACACTTGGAGGGATCTTCAAATCATCGCTGATTGAGCTCATGAACACCATAAATTCTACGGATGTGCACTATATACGTTGTATCAAGCCTAATGAAGCGAAGGAAGCTTGGAAGTTTGAAGGTCCCATGGTCCTCAGTCAATTGAGAGCTTGTGGTGTGCTCGAAACGGTCCGTATCAGCACTGCTGGATATCCTACTCGCTGGACTTACGAAGAATTTGCGATACGCTACTATATGCTGTGTCATTCATCGCAGTGGACGTCTGAAATCCGAGAAATGTGCCACGCAATCCTACAAAAAGCCTTAGTAGATGGCAGCAACCAAAAACAAGATAAATACCAGCTTGGTTTGACTAAGATATTCTTCCGGGCAGGTATGCTCGCTTTCCTGGAAAATCTTCGCACGTCCAGGTTGAATGAGTGTGCAATCATGATACAAAAAATCTACGGTGCAAATACTATCGACGCCGTTATCTCGAGGCGCGCGCTTCTATTCTTACAACTCAAGCCTTGATCAGGGGGTTTTTAGCAAGGCAGCATGCGGCCGAGGTGCGCAAGGTCAAAGCTGCAACTTCTATTCAACGGGTGTGGCGAGGACACAAGGAAAGGAAAAAGTATAACATCATCCGTGCCAACTTCATATTGTTTCAATCGGTTGCGAAGGGCTTCCTCTGCCGGCAAAATATAATGGATACGATACATGGAAACGCTGCCAAAGTTATACAACGTGCCTTCCGCTCGTGGCGTCAATTACGAGCTTGGCGGCAGTATCGCCGAAATGTGGTCACTGTGCAGAACCTTTGGAGAGGCAAGCAAGCGAGGAGACAATACAAAAAGCTCCGTGAAGATGCAAGGGACCTGAAGCAGATCTCTTACAAGCTGGAGAATAAAGTGGTAGAGTTGACTCAGTACCTCGAGTCTCTTAAACGTGAAAATAAGTCATTGAATCTGCAGTTAGAAAACTATGAAACTCAGTTGAAGTCATGGAGGAGTCGTCACAATGCTCTGGAGAATCGCTCTAGAGAACTTCAGGCTGAGGCAAACCAAGCAGGAATCAACGCTGCTCGGCTGTCTGCTATGGAAGAAGAAATGAGTCGATTGCAGCAAAATCACAGCGAAGCGCAAACGACAATTAAGCGGCTGCAGGAGGAAGAAAGAGTGTCACGGGAATCCATTCGTTCTGCAAATGAGGAGCTGCAGCGGCTTAAACAAATGAACACCGAGTCGGATGATGAGAAAGCTTCCCTCCGTCAACAGATCGCTGACCTTGAAGAGCAGCTAGAGCTTGCGAAGAGGACCTTACCTAGCGGGGGCTTGAACGGCGATCAATCAAACGGCAGCGCCATCCCACCACCTGCCAGTGGATTGATTAATCTAGTGTCCTCAAAGAAGGCAAAGCCAAAAAGACGCAGCGCCGGTGCAGAGAGGATAGACACAGATCGTTTTAGCGGTGCTTACAACCCACGCCCAGTCTCCATGGCTGTTCCTAGCTCCTTAATGCGTCAAAACCTATCAGGGAGCACTTTGTCACCTGGACTGGACTCTGTCGAGGTGGAGCTTGAAAATTTACTTTCTGAAGAGGATGAACTCAACGAGGAGGTCACTATGGGTTTGATACGCAATCTAAAGATTCCGCTCCCTAGTTCTACTCCACCGCCAACCGAAAAAGAAGTCCTATTTCCTGCTTATTTGATAAACCTTGTCACTTCTGAAATGTGGAACAACGGCTTCGTGAAGGAATCTGAACGGTTTCTGGCGAATGTGATGCAGTCGATTCAACAAGAGGTCATGCAACATGATGGAGACGATGCTATAAACCCCGGGGCCTTTTGGCTATCTAATGTGCATGAAATGCTTTCTTTCGTGTTCCTGGCTGAGGATTGGTATGAAGCACAAAAAACTGACAATTACGAGTACGACCGGCTGCTGGAGATTGTAAAGCACGATTTGGAAAGCCTCGAGTTCAACATTTATCATACCTGGATGAAAGTGTTGAAAAAGAAGCTTTATAAAATGATCGTTCCTGCGATCATCGAGTCCCAATCACTTCCTGGCTTTGTTACAAGTGAAACCAATCGTTTTCTTGGGAAGCTTCTTCCTTCCAACAACAACCCAGCTTACAGTATGGACAATCTTCTTAGCCTTCTGAACAATGTCTACAAGGCAATGAAAGCTTTTTACCTCGAGGATTCGATCGTTACTCAGACTGTCACCGAACTTCTTCGTTTGGTTGGCGTCACCGCTTTCAATGACCTTCTCATGAGGAGGAATTTCTTGTCCTGGAAGCGTGGCCTCCAAATAAATTACAATATAACTCGTATTGAGGAATGGTGTAAAAGCCATGATATGCCGGAAGGGACGTTGCAGCTTGAGCACTTGATGGTAAGATGATATTCAGACATATAATTTGCTCCTCATACTAACTCCCTCTCAGCAAGCGACCAAACTTCTTCAGTTAAAAAAGGCCACACTAAACGACATTGAGATTATCCAAGATATCTGTTGGATGTAAGGCCCATACCTGCTTTTACCCCATTATCAAAGCCATATGGAAGACTAATATATTCATATACAGGCTTTCCCCGAATCAAATTCAGAAGCTCCTGAATCAATACTTAGTGGCGGATTATGAGCAGCCGATTAATGGCGAAATCATGAAAGCTGTGGCCTCGCGTGTCACGGAGAAGAGCGATGTGTTGCTTCTGACGCCTGTGGATATGGAGGATAGTGGTCCATACGAGATTGCCGAACCTCGTGTTATCACGGCCCTAGAGACATACACACCGTCATGTAAGTTTCGTATGTCACAGCGCTGTCCGATATTCACTAACCTGCTTGAAGGGCTGCAAACACCGCGGCTAAAACGTCTTGCTGAGATTGTCTCAGCTCAGGCGATGGCTCAGCAAGAGAGGCTTGAAATGGCGGATATAGCATGATGTCTTTCATACTTCACTGTAGTACGAAGGTAGGCCAACTGCCAATGCTGTCTGGTCGAGTAGGAACAAACCTCTACTGAGTATACTGCTTAGAAGGAGTCGTCTTGTCGTCATTTCCTAGAGTTACGGATCATGATGAGATTATGCATTTCTTTTACCTTTGAACAGCGCTGATCTACAACTGGATACGAGAAGACATGCCATATGTCTCTCCCCACCATTGTCCTTATTCTGTATTTTTGGGGGGCCGGGGGTATTAGGCCACACCTGTATGTTGTCTTGGATTCTCTATTCAGATTTTTCTTTTTATTCGAGTCTCACTTGTGGATACGAATTTGAGCACGAGGTCCATCTGCCTCACGAAAGACATACTCTCGATCCGTAGTAATCATGTGGCACCACGCAAGTGGGGTAGTGGGGAAGCTTTGCTTCCCCGATGTGAATGGAAGGAAACAGTTCCTGCCTTGTCAGATTTCTGAACCTCATTCTATTTGTAAATGTGTTGATTAACAAGGTATAATATCCTGTCTTGGCCTTTTTTCCTACATTTTTCCCTGAACTCCCTAAACAATAATTCAAACTTAGCGGCGCAGACACCATGACCATATTAAAGAAATTGAATTTCATCACTGGCAACAGGAACAAACTAGGGGAGGTTAGAGCGATTCTGGGCAATGCAATCGAGGTCGATAACCAAGGGCTTGACATTCCGGAGATACAAGGGACTATTGAAGAAATTGCCAGAGAAAAGTGCATGCGTGCAGCGGAAGTGGTAAACATGGTGATACTCTTTCCATCTCGCGTACAGTGCTAATATTGCCCGAACAGATCCAGGGCCCGGTTCTCACGGAGGACACGGCGCTTGAGTTTCATGCACTTAAAGGCCTTCCTGGTCCATACATGTAGGTCTTACCAGGGCAAAAAAAAAA